TAGATATACTGACGAGCCGTTCTGATTTCGACATTTTACGGACATAGCAGCCGCAAGTATTTCAACACTTCTGCTGTATAGAGTATAAAAAGTTACATAGAATCTCATTTTTGTTCACAAAAATTTGATATTCTACATGCCTGTTTAGGCATGTCATGTGTGGATCTCTTTTATATCAATGAAGCAGCTTTGATCTTGTCTTTCTCTACATCCACAGAGTTAAGATCGACGTTTAATATACCATACGAAGGAGCAGTTCGAGTAGTATAAGTGCTGATACTCAAAACCTAGTCTATTACATATAAAAGCGCAGGCCAACTGTCACAAAATGACGAAAATCGAAAGAAGGACACTTAGTATTTCAACTCTGCTGAAGAAAATACAAAACAAAGCTTCTTGCACTATAGATAAAAATGAAGCTAAAGAGCTGCGTAATTTAATGAAAAAAGAATAAGGTCGATATCTATCTTTCTCTTTGAGTACGAAACCCATCTTTGAAGAATCTTTTTTAAAAATAACCAAATTTCAGGCCTCCCAGCACAAAAAGTATTCAGTCAAATTCTTTTCTTTTTCTCTCATCTGTAGTACTCTTCGAGCTCTACAAAATGACATCAAAGATATTTTTCGCCCGTTCCGTTTTCGCTCTCTTTTCTCGATCAGCAAAGTCAAAAATATCGATTACTACTTTCACTCTGATTTTCTCTTGACTTTTATCTATGGTCTTACAAAATGGTTGTCGATGTATATGTGTGTGCGCAAAATACCGGAAAATGTCTGTCAGATATTCCGTGAATAAGCCGATCGCAAGAGAGAAAAGCAGAAAATTATTTTTTACATTAGAGAGAAAATATTCAAAGAGATGACTGAAATAATATTTACTGCGAATGCCGACCGAAGGGAGGCGTGAGAATTGTCGGGTGTTTAGAAGTAGTTTTAGACGTCTGGGAACCTTTGAAGGGTCTCGAGAAAACTTTTAAAATTTATATTAGATTACCAAGCTTACACATCAAATCAGAGAGATATTCATAACATATTGTAGATGGTCCACTAGCGAACACCTTGTTTCACAACATAATTTACAAAAATTAATACGTAATCTCTTGGAATGAAGCAGTGGAGAATCAGCCAATTAATAGCAGATACACTAATCGCACACGTCCTTTTAGGAATTAAAACTTGCATTCAAATGTAACAAAATTCACAAAAAAACCGCGTGGATCTGAAAAGATCTCCATAGATCTATAAGTATCCGAAATTTGTCCTAAGAGTACAAAGGCCTTCTGTAACTTTTAAAATCTGCCCTATATAAAGCTGCATTAGTTGAAAGAATTACCGGTTCACTGTCAACTGGAAAATGAAGAAATAAAGGAGCTTCAGTGAATAACATTTTTTAGTTCGTTGAATGAGGCAGATTGTGATGATCCCCATTGAAATTCGTGTCGCATGCTTTTTAGAAGATTGTGACGGCATGAACAGGTGCTGCTGTTGTTGCGAATTTAGGTATAAATTTACGGTACCAGAAAAGAGCACCTATAAATTGGTTTGCTTGTTGAAGTGTTATTGGTTCTTTGAGTAATAAAATTGAAGATATTTTTTCGGTAAGAGGAGTAATGCCAAATTGAGTCACATGGTGTCCTAAGTAATCAGTTTCGTTTTTAGCAATTTCACATTTAGATGGGTTAAGTTGAAAATTTGCATCATGAAGAAGTTGTAATACTTCATTTAGATGTTTGACTTGCTCTTCGATTTGAAGAAAATTATTATATCGTCTAGGTAAACGAGACAGAACTTTCGGCATGGTTGAAGTAATTTTGTCATTACCCGTTGGAACGTAGGAGGTGAATTTTAAGACCCTGTGGCAAAACATTCCATTCAAAGAGGCCAAATGGTGTTTTAAATGCCGTTTTATGTTTATATGTTTTTTCAATGGGTAATTGCCAAAAACCTGATTTAAAAAAAAACTACTATTGTCATCAGATGAAATCAAATACCTTTACATCGTACTGTCGTATCTAAATTTATCTTACTGAGCAGATAATTCTACAAATAGTAGCAGATATTTAGTGTTTTGTCTTTATTTCACCACTATTCTATCACATACTAAACCAAACAACTGATACTAGCCACTTGATAATATTTTAACGGCAAAAAACGAAAAACCTGTATGGTGATAAAATTATTATATTTACGATAATATTCTTGAAAATCGTCAATAAGATTCTCGCCAATAATTGATTAAAGTCCACAAGACTTCTGACATTATCGGGTGGAGATGCTGTGGACTCTCACTAGTTGCTACGTGGAACAGCATTTATGTAGCATATATGTGAGGACAGCAGTTAATGTTGTTCGAATATTTCTCGTTGTCTGCACTCACTAATGTAGTGACTAGTAATCTCTCTATTTACAGGCCTTAAGTTACACTGAAATTAGGCCAAGTATAGTGATCTTTCGATTACTGGTAAAATCGCAGGGAGAAATGTGTACTATCGAAAGTTATATCGACAAAATCCCAGTCACCTTTTGCGTTATCATATCATGTGCAAATTTATTATATAAAGATAAAAGTACAACAACACCTTTTCAGGTGGACATAATACTACTTATCGTTCTTTATTTCTGTGAGTGATACGCAAATATATTGTATTTTCGAACGCGAAGAGCTTGTTTTTTTAAAAACTCAAGTTATTGTAAAAAATAGTATGCATAACAATCAAATGTATAGTAAGTATGCCAATGAAAATAAAGGACCACGGTAGAGATGCAACAGTGAAGATGGATGGTCTTGGATAGCGCGCTGTATCAGTATAGATATGCAAGCACAGGTTGGCGGCGAAGGTGATGAATTGGGCGGCGGTTTTAGACTTGATTTCGCCTTTGTCGAGCAAAGGAAGATTATTTTTAGAAAATAGTTTTTCATAAACCTTGACCGAAGGTTTTCGAGGTTAAGAAATCTGAGTCTGTTGATGGTTTGTCGTCATTCTCAAGTTCGATTTTTTCGTTCGAGTAGGACTAATTTTCTTTCAGGTTTATACGGACATAGCAGCCGCAAGAATTTCAACACCCCTGCTGTATAGAGCATAAAAAGTTACATAGAATCCCATATTTGTTCACAAAAGTTTTATATTCTACATGCCTGTTTAGGCATGTCATGTGTGGATCTCTTCTATATCAATGAAGCAGCTTTGATCTTGTTTTTTGCTTGTTTTTCTACATCCACAGAGTTAAGATCGACGTTTAATATACCATACGAAGGAGCAGTTCGAGTAGTATAAGTGCTGATACTCAAAACCTAGTCTGTTATATTTAAAAGCGCAGACCAACTGTCGCAAAATGACGAAAACCGAAAGAAGAACACTTAGTATTTCAACTCTGCTGAAGAAAATACAAAACAAAGCTTCTTGCACTATAGATCAAAATGAAGCTAAAGAGCTGCTTAATTTAATGAAAAAAGAATAAGGTCTTTCTCTTTGAGTACGAAGCCCATCTTTGAAGAACCTTTTTTAAAAATAACCAAATTTCAGGCCTCCCAGCACAAAAAGTATTCAGTCAAATTCTTTTCTTTTTCTCTCATCTGTAGTACTCTTCGAGCTCTACAAAATGACATCAAAGATATTTTTCGCCCGTTCCGTTTTCGCTCTCTTTTCTCGATCAGCAAAGTCAAAAATATCGATTACTACTTTCACTCTGATTTTCTCTTGACTTTTATCTATGGTCTTACAAAATGGTTGTCGATGTATATGTGTGTGCGCAAAATACCGGAAAATGTCTGTCAGATATTCCGTGAATAAGCCGATCGCAAGAGAGAAAAGCAGAAAATTATTTTTTACAGAAGTCCAAGAGCAAAGTGTTCTTTTTTTGGGATCACTTCCCAAAAAAGAACAAAAGTGTCCAATTTTTGGGAAGTGATTCCCAAAAAAGAACGCTTTGCTCTTGGACTCCTAGACTTCAGGAGTCCATGGGAGCCCAGGAGTCCATAGGAGTCCAGGAGTCCGCTTTTTCCCCCTTGGATAAAACTAAAAAGTTTTTCTTGAAGTGCTTCAAAGATCTCCAGAGATCTAAACATATTTCTGAATTCAAACCAATGCTCACGCCTCCCTTCGGTGGGCGTTCGCATCTAGTACAGATGCGAAACGCCGTCAGCTACTCCGGTTCCACGGGGAAATCGTCTACCGTAATATAAAGTCAAAAGGTTTTCCGGACTACCTCTGCGATCCCGAGGAGGTTGGAAGTCCTTCTAATCGATTCGCTATGATATATTATCTATACATTGTAAGTTTTAATATCCGTAGAGGACTTTTTTTGTACTATCACAGTTAACTGCTATCCGGCGACATCTACTCTCTGGCATACAGAAAACATTGCTTAGCCTTTTTTCTCTCTGGATCAGTAGATATTTCAGATCATCTCTTTGAATATTTTGGTCCTCGCGGTTAAAAAGAAATGTTTTATGCTTCTCGCTTATGATTGGCTTATCCATAGAATATCTGACAGCCATTTTTCCGTATTTCTCATAGACACACAGACAACTATTTTATAAGACTCTAGACTAGAGTCAAGGGAAAAATCAGTCTTACACAAATCGATGACTTTCTTTTAAGTAATTGACGGTATAGCACAGTAATACTTGTGTAATGACGTAGTATCACTGAGTGCTAAAAGCCCTTTTACTGGGAGATTAGCATTTAAATTTTGTTCTGAGAACATGATAGTTCGAACATCTCAGAAAGAAATGTTTAGATGTTTCTCATTCTGCTCCAGCAGTCATATAGGTGTTTATTAAACGTATTGTTAAATTATATGTGAACAGTTTACTGTGACGAGGTGGAAAACCAGCAATAGACTGACGATGTATTTCTAAGAGTCCCTAATCTCCTTGCTTTTCGATTCTATTACAGAGACTGGTAAAAAAGTTTTCTTAGAGATATCTTTTACGTAATGGAATGGAAGATCTAAGTACGCTTTTTCTATCTATTATCAAAAACATACAAGCACAGTTATTAATCGGTTGTTTGTGATGTTTGGCTTCTTTCACCTTCATCAAACTTTTCCTTCAGTCTAGCAAGTGTCTTTCTAATATTAGCGTTGCCTCCAACATTAGCGTTGCCTCCAACATTAGCGTTGCCTCCAACATTAGCGTTGCCTTCAACATTAGTGTTGCCTTCGACCTTAGCTTTGCTTTCCACATATGTGTTGACAAGGTCTCTTGTACGAAATGTTAACTTAGTTGCCCATGCATAACAACTTTTCGCTATATTATTGTCTTTATGAGCGAGATGATCATCACCCTTCTCTTCCAAATAGTCGGCAATATCTTTTGTTAAACGTTGAAGTAAATCGTCATGATGTTCTAGCATGGCTGATATTCTATCAACATATTCCATTGCCCATTCAGCATGAAAAGCAATATTTGCACAGAATATATAAATTCCATGGATTTGTGGTAGCTTAGCAATTTGAGGCACAATTTCTTTACCTATGGTGCCAGATGAAATGAAAAATATTTTTTTATTATGCTGCGATCTGATAAACTCTAGGCATTTAGAAATGTCGGAATATGGTTTTAAACAATAGACGTCGTATTTTAATTTTTCCAACGTTTTTTCATCTATTAACGTACGTGGAGTTTCATCAACTTCGGCTTCTTCCCCAGTCAGTGTGTTTAATGGTTGAATGTTTGTTTGAAATTTAGTTTTCAATGCTTCATTGTCATTTGGAAGACCAATATATCTATCAAGCCAAACGGTTAAATGATCAGAACATTCTGCAATATCCAAAACATTACTCCTTGTATAGGGACCCACATTTTGAGAAGACGTCAAATAATCGTCTATGTCAATGTTATCCGGCATTCACGTCTAAAATAAAAAACAGTTTTAATTACTAGAGTTGTATACTTATGTTGAAAAGGTTCATGATTAAAAACAATCTTTAGGAAGAGTATACTTTTTTATTCTCTCCATTTATTTCTCACGACAGCATTACTTGTTTTTTTTTATAAGGAAAGAGAATGTTTTACAAGTTAGAAAAAACCAACTACTTACTATCGAAAACTCACGTCAACTTGTTGTTTCTGGTTAAATTGCGCGCATGGTCTTTTTATTTTCGTCTTAGAGGAAGAAAAACGAAGTCGCATTTTTCTCTTCTTTATTTTACTTTGAGTCATAGAAAGAGGACATAAAAATATTGCTACTTGAGTAGTAATGACTAAACTATAGAGTATTTGTTTTTAATAGAAATTCACGAGCTTTTTCCTATTATATTGTGTAAACTATTACTGTTTTCGGAAGAACAACAAAGATGTCCAAGCGATTATAATTCCATTTTGATGTCATTAGGCGTTCTTAAAGTGCTGTGATAAAAATGGCTTTTTATATCTTCTAGTTTTAAAATTTTATTCAAACAATGTATGTTTTTTCTTTTGTTTAAAAATAGACAATAAAAAATGTCATTTTTGGAGGGAGTTAGAAAAAGTATTCAAGTGGTCTGTGACTTAGAAAATTTCTCTCAATGTTTAGAAATATACAGGATTGTTTTTCTCAACAAAATCAGAACATACTTCTCCATTTCTGTTGAATAAAAATTCGTGGACGTTTGTTCCTGCACATACAGATAGCTGTTGAATTATGCAGTGTTCTGATGCGTCCAGTTCTTTATGATACAACACAACTAATATATTTAGGTTTTCCCGATAGTATAGAGAAATGCATGATTTAGATAATATGATAAAATGCGTGAAATCCATGCAAAGACTTGTGGACCATAGAGTCAACTATGATGTCGCAAGATAATACATTTTGTATCCATTTTCGATACATTTTCCAACTCCAAACACATTCCAAGAGAATCAACCGAGCAACAAGCGAACAAGAGTCAACATATTCTAGATCAAACTTCAACAATAGAATATAAGAAATTAGCTGAGCTGCAATTGCAAAACATATGTTCATGAAGACCAGCAACTCACGGTTAAACTGAGTAAACATGAAGTGAATTGGATACAAAGGAAAATGAATTGACAATGGAAATAAATAATTGTTTCAAGGAGCGACAAATGGAACATGATAAAGAATGCATCAGTTTATTGACTTTTTGTCGGCAAAGAATATAGAATGTGTGCGGTTAATATCGCAAAGAACCATAGTGATCGACAGCCCATTAGATGATAGCACTGGAAACAAAATGATTAAGATCAACGAAATCTACATAATTTTAGCAGCCTCGTTCTATTTGTTTATTTATTAAAATAAAAGTGGCAGACTTTCAGTTTTTCGCGTTTCCTAACCAAGAGATTTGTCTGAATAGTTTTTAAATGGTACTATTTGAGGCAGACTTTGACGGCGCATCTTTTCGTAACAACAATTTTTAGATTACCATTAAATCTTAATTAGGTCATTATTAATTAGCACTATGCCAAAATTGGCTCGGGGTACTGTCAGTCGAGAAGCCAAACATTTTTTGGAAAGTTTTTAAAAGAAAAAAACAAACAGAAGCAAAACTACATAGCGACTCGAGCAGAAATTGAATCCACACCGTAAGAATAAGTCTTTCTTTCTGCTCTATGCGCTGTGCTATCGAGTCTATACTCTTCTATCGTCCTTTTTCTCACTATATTTGAGATAATGAGGAAAAAACATTCTCATTCTTGACTTTCCGAAGGATCTTTGAGAAACATATGCGAAAAATCACCTAAACTAGAAAGAATTTTGAATATATTCGAATTTTGCATTCTCATGAGGGAAAGTGAAAGAAATTTAACTTTTTTGAATATATATATTTCAATCGTATAGTTATTGGATTCTGTAGTTCAGCTTCTCTTAATTAATAATGAGTGTTAGTTTTCTTTCATTGAATAATATGCAAATAACGGAGAAAACATGTGAGTTCAATTGTTGACTAAACTTTACCCTCAGCTTAGTGACTATTATGAATGAGAAATCAACAGTGCATAATATTTTAATTTCAACGAAAAATCAAAAACATTTTCTCAGAATAATTAAAAAAACTGTGCACAAATATTTTCTATCTGAAACGTCATACTTGAAGATAACTTGAAAAAAGAAATGTATTTTTTAAATGCATCCCTTGAGTCTTGAAAATAGTCTCCTTTTTATTTTGTTGTTGAAAACGTTTCATGTAAAAAATATGCAAGGATGTTTTTCAATGGGGTCGAAGTTCGAATTTTATGCATCCGCGGTGACTTAGAAAGACATGACTAATTCTTAGTCTATATATATCGAGTATGTCCTTTTATGTAACGCTCATGCAGTTTTAGTGCACAAATTTAGCGCACGCTCGTGCATACAAAGCATCTTGGATACATAAAGTCGGAATTCAGTCGCATTTTGAAGGCACTCCTAGTGAAACTTCTTGTACCCAAGATCTTGGATTCTTGAATCTTTTACTCAAGATCTTGGAAACAGAAATTTTAAGATTTTGAGTGAATCTACTCAAGATAAAAGTTTGACTGAAAAATTTTCTTTATATTTTGTTTTGATTTATGACAGTCATAACTATCGGATATACTACCATATAGAGTCATAGATTCTTCCCTAAAAAACTATGGTCAAGAAGGAAAAAAATTCGAAGCTATTCTCTTTAATTTAAACGATTACTTTGAATTGCAAGAATAGTATTAGAGCAGTAGGTTTTTCCGTATTTAGCGCACGTTCCGTCACACATAAGTTACATCTCAAATTGTTTGACGATCTCCAGTGTTTTAGAGGTAACGAAACCGCGTTTCAAATATAAAGCTGGATGATGAAGATCTAGTAGATCTTTTCCTAAAGCTCTCTACAAAGTTAACGTTATGTAAAAGTATAGGTAACGTCCCGTTTTTATGAAGACACTTATCTCACCGTTACCAAGGACGTATTGTGCCTAACACCGTTCACTTATAGCCTTAAAAGTCATATTATATCCTTATAAAACTAATCACTTATTTAATGTTTGGGACAGCGGTAGAGTCATCGTTTTCTTCAATGCATAACCAATTTTCTCTTCTGATTATGGTTGTTTGAACGATATTATTTTGTTTTTGAAAGAATCTTATCTTTTCCACACTTTCTCTAAAATGTAGCTGGATGAGGCAGCTTTCCAGGCGCCGTTCCAAGGAATTGAAGAAGCCGATAATCTAAAGGAAATTCGTATGATCTTGCTTGGTAAAATTGGAGGAGGTATGTATGAGGGCGCTAAATGACACTCGTAAATCGAATTTTTCGTCAAATATCATCTTTTTACTAGGTAAAAGTTCTTTCGGTAATGTATTAATTGGCTCGAAAGTATTCAAAGCAGCCTATACCGAAGATGGAGTAACGAAGGAATGTGTTATTAAGGAAAATCGATTTGGTGAGAGACTACTGAAAGTAGTTGATACACCTGGCTTCTTTGATCTTATTGAAAACGAACGTAAAAATCATGCTGAAATCACAAAATCTCTAGGAAGTGTTGCTCCGGGCCCTCATGCATTTCTAGTCGTCGTTAAACTTGGTAAACTGAGTCCAGAAGATCGTGCTTGCGTACGAAAAATTGGAGAAATTATTGGACCAACAGCGCTGAATTATTGTATACTAATATTAACGCATTCAGATCAACTTGAAGAGGATACTACATTTGATGATTACCTTAGATCTGGCGATGGGTTTCTAAAGAACGAATTGATTGATAAGGCTTTTAGAGGACGTTATATTAGAGTAAACAATAAGGAAAAAGACAAAACTAAAGTTAATGAAACTATTAAGGATCTAATACAAAAGATTAAAACTATGGTCGCCAAGAATAATGGTGTGTGTTTTCAAAACGAGCTCACAAAACGAGTGACGCAATGTATACACGAAAAACAGGAGGCAATGGGAAATTTTAGACTGATAGAACCAGATGGAAGAATCAATGTGACAGATGAAGTCATTGATGAAGTTTCAATGTTTCGTTCGGAACGGACTAGAGCGAATCCTAATATCGAAGAATTCGACTCGGATAATACAAATGACAACAGTCCGAGAATTGTAGACAACGAATTAACAACAAAGGATCCACAAGATACCCTTACTACGGCTACAACGGAAGTACGAAGTACGCTGATGGATACAAATGCTAAGAAACACCGTAAATTACGTTGGTTCTTTTGTCTCTCGTAGTTCTCGTGGGTATTGATTTGGTTAAGTAGAATTATATCAAGTCAAAATAAACACTTCGACCACACTAGTCTGTGTCTTGAATACTTATGTTCGTCGCTCGCATCTATTTTTCTATTAATGAATTATGTTTTCATTAAACTGAATTTTACACTTTTCTTTCGTGTTGCTTTCGTTGCTTTTCATTTCTGTATTACTTATTTGTCATCATCTTCCTGCAGGTAAGTTAACTCCTTTCAGACGTGTAAACAGTGATGGTTGACAAACAGTCAAAATTTGTATCAATTTCGACAACAACAAATGAACAATTCGACGAAGTGAACTATGCACTTCCACAATGCGGTAGACTTTTGAGTTATAACGATATAATGGTGATGTCTTAATGAACATGTTCTTTTTAGATATATGCCAAAAAGAAATAGTATTTCCATTGATTGCAACGAATCAACGAAATAGTAGTGATAAAATATACTGTAATGATTGTTATAACGATCTTGGTGCTAAGCTGAAACAAAATCGAAAACTATTTGGTGAGTTAATCTTTTCCCTCTTCCGCACGTAAATTCATACCTAAGACACCGGTCTGGTTTTGTTTTCTCTATAGAAAGTTACATAAGAACGAATCAATCTCATCCGTCACATGCCTTTACAGTAGTGTAAGTGATAGAACGAAAGTTCAAATGGAGAAAGTCATTCTGTGTTTGAATCTTTTAAGAGGTATCGTCGATCAACGAACCAGTTGTGGACATGACTCTACAAAACACACAAGAAGCAGAGAGATACCAGATTTAAGGAGTGATGAGGACGATGATTTGAAAACATATCATGTGACTCAGCTGATTGGTATGATTAAATTTTGGATATAGTGCATAGACAGTGAAACACATCTAATATACACTAATTCTTTTAATTTCAGATGAGTACAGCGAAGATGACACTCAATTCGATGAATTTTTTGTAGAAGCTATTGCTTCACCAAAAGCACCCATAGAAAGGAAACAAGTTCCTATTTTATGGTTGGATCTGGTCGAAAATACGACTGCAGAATCCCAAAGAATATCGGAAGAAAAGATTAGAGAGAATCGATTCAATCTAGAAACATTTACAATCGACAAGGATTGCGAAAACTATCTTACAGCAAATAATTCCGAAAAATGTTTTTTAATCCTTTCTAAGGATATCGGACGAATGTTCTTAGAAAAGAAAATTCAGACAAGTAAGCTCAATATAGTTTGCTGATCGTCTCGATTACTGCTCTTGAAATTATATTGAGTGTCCTAGCGCTATGAAGCCTGGAAAGGAAGTGACCTTCGTTAGTGTGAAAACTAAATTTCTGGCGACCAAATCTGACTAATCGCAGAAGTGTCTTCTCCAAACCCTATTAACTGATGGGTATTTCCGTATGGAGCCTATCATCATTACAACGACATCAGGCGTAGATACTGAGACACACATTTTCTGATGCAGTTTAGCATACTGATTTGAATGGCAAAAACCGCAGGGCTCTATCTTTGTCGGAAAAAAGTTCTAGGCAATATATCATCCCAGCAGAAAGTAGGAGTTTCAACCAAAAATGGCCTCTGTTGCAGAGCTCGATACACCCAAAGGACATGTCGCAGACCTTCGCAGTAGTCTCAAATGAAAGAGTCCATCGTCTTCTATCTAAATCATTCGGAAAAACTTATGTCCGAACTAGGGATCTTGAGATATAGATCTCGAAAAAGAGGCATGAAAAGAGGTATTTTTTTCTGCGTAATATTCAACATGAAGGCTGGCGTCCCACTCCGTCTACTTTTCCTCTTTTTATCTATAAATTCTCTTTTTAACCTCTTTTCATCATGAAGGAACTTCTCGACCCCCTTTCGGTGCAGTTTTTTTCTTGAGCGACGTAAAAATATATAAAACATTACATTTGTGCAGAACTGAACGAGCTATCGAATAATGGGTCTCAGAAGTTTTCTGTGGTGGATTTTTGAGCTTTGTGGGTTTTCTGAAAGTCCGGATTTTTTCAAGATCTCCCCCTTCATCCATTTGGCTGAAATCTGTTTGTTGAAACAGACAGAATCGGATGCGCTCTTTCATTTGAAACCACACTGAAGGTTCTGCGACATGTCCTATAGGTATATTGCATGTCCGCTTGAAAATACAAAAAAGCCTAGTTTTCACTGAGTACGTATTTTACCTATAGCTTTTATGAAGCTGGTTTTGAGTGTGTAAGCTAAAGAACCATATAGATGTGACACGGATCTAATCGATCGTGTATTTTTAGGAAAAGGACCAGTCAGAATTCATGACCTCCCAAAACTGGCAAGAGTGTACATATATTGCCCGCAAAAAGCCGACGCAATTGTTGCAGAATCACTCGTTGAAGACGGTAATGATGAGTTATGTGTTACAGCGCAGAGAGATGACCATCCAGATGAGCCGATATTAATAAGTCCAGCAACAGCGAAAACTACTTCATCGGAATCAAGTTCTGAAACATCGGATCACATAACAAACGACGGTAGAATCGAAACTCATGTTATTACATCCTCTCCGAATGATAGACGTCCTTCATCTGATGCGAGCTCTGAGATAACTCCGCTAGTTTCAAAGGAAGTTCCTGTGTGTGAAAACCAGTCATTCAATGGTCAGAAAGTGCAAAATGTTCGTCATTCAATGAGTTTCATGGATCGATTATCTTCGTTCTGTATAAGATATAGTTGCTGTGGTAGAACAGATACGAAAACAAAAGTTCAAGCCAATGGTAAATCATCGGCAAAATCAGCGTTAGAAATGCCCAAAACACTTCTCACAAAAGTAGCACCTCGTCTCGTCTCCAGCTCCCAATCCACATTGCCATTTGACGAACCAAATGACTCATCTCTCACAGAAAGCAATGACGATGAATGGGTGAAAAATTATTCCAAGGTTAGTCAGCGAAATAACTTATTTTTTTAATTTTATTTTTAAACCTTTTTAACATTTTCTGTCGCTTAATACAGATATGTGGTGTTTTTACTGATTTAACCGAATTGCTTACACAAATGTGTTAGGATCAAATGGTAGTTTGCGATGAAATCGACAATCTATTGACTCTGTTGGTTATCAAAGGAGACGAGGCATCAGTTCAAAAATTTTAAAACAGGGAGTTTAAACAGGGAGTCCCTCCTAGCAGAGGGAGCTAGTATCCGATGGAGTTAGTCCATCAGGATAATGGTGTTGAGCTACGAAATATTGAGGAATTTCGCCATGAATACAAAGCCGACGATGTAATTCGTTGGTACACCAGAAATGCGTGTTTTTATCGGCTTCTTAATAGAGCATTACGGTTTCAAACCTACGATGCTATTATTTCTTTTCGTCTTTTAATCAACGATATATCTCGACAATTAGAGAATGAATATCATAAACAGAAGACCACGATAGAGACGGGTGGTGGAAGGTCAGTTTTCCTAGTGTATCGAGGACAGCGTATGGGTACAACGGAATTCAATGAAATAAGTACTTCAAATTGTCATGATAAACAGTTTCTTCTCAGCCACCATAGATAAAACGGCAGCATTAGTATTTATAGCCGGTGCAACCTCTATCATTCGGAGAGGATGTAATAACATGAGTTTCGATTCTACCGTCGTTTGTTATGTGATCCGATGTTTCAGAACTTGAT